TGTTCTCTATATTATAGCTATGATGGAAGTGGGTATTTTATTATGTAATTTATATGTGTTTATATGTGTCAATACGTGATTAATACGCATATTAATTTTATTGATGTTTGATTTAAAATGCTTAAAAGTGAAAGCAGATAAATGCGATAATTATGTTAAACCACTAGAACTGATTGATGATGAGAATTATCCTTTTGCCAGATATTTTTTTCCGGGAACAAAAATATTTTTGCATAAATATGAGGATGAAATTGGTCCATACTTTGTTTTTCTCAACATTAACATCGTGGACTCTAATTTCCCTAAAATAATCAATGATTCTACTCAAATATCATCATTTAGGATGGTAGCATATGATTCAGGTATAATTATTTTAAAAATTATATTTTCACAATTTTATTATTCTGATTATTTGATATATTAAATATACGCTATTTCAATTCATATAGAAAATGACTACAATATACAAAATAAACATTTTGATTCTGCATCTCAACAAATATCTCCATTTGAACAATCACTTTACTACATAAATAAATATACTTTATCAAGTGGCTACGTATGTATATATCATATTTATTAAAGTGCTTAAATAATAATTTAACAATATATATATATATATTTGTTAAAAATTGCTAGATATATAAGTTTGGTTATAACAGAAACTTTAGAACATTTCTTGATGAAACTATGCTAAATTACTTTGGCATCGCAATATCACAACCTCCAAGACCATATATTGAATCTACTATACGTAAGAAATTTTTTACTTTAATCATGCTTACGTCTAAATATTTTAAAATACAATATTAATATCATTTATATTTAAAAACAATAGAAGCTGTTCCAAAGAGCCCTTCAAATACAAATAATATATCACTATGTATTGGTCCAAGAAGTTTTATTATAAAAGAAGAAGAAGAGCAAAGGTATTACTATTAAAACTGACTTTTGTCTAAATAATTTGTTAATGCAAGCTTAACTATATAAATATAATAATAATAATAATAGGCACAATAGTGTAAGTAATAATTGAAGTTTCTAATAATTTATAGTTATCAATACATATTGAAATAATTCTATATATATGTATAATTTATGGTAAATAGGTTATAAGCGTATTCAGAACTGTTGCAGCTTTTTATAGTTCTCTTATGTTTTTTTATATATTTTTATTCGGTATTATGATTATTTCTAGTTATTTATTTTTCTTGTTTAAATTTAATTAAGAAGCTAAATTATTATATATTATAACTCGTTCAAAAATCTTTAGGTGTTGATTCAATAAGACTTTGGAATGTTGTACATTCTGGATGTTGTGGAATCAGAATATATAAAGAGAAAACTAAAGCTAAAATTAATAATGATCTAGAAAGCATAATAATAGGTGATGAAAATAATTCAAATAGCAATCGAAATTCTCAAATATAGAACAAAAATTCACAATCAATTACAACTAGAATTGAAGAATTAGAAAAATTTAGATATTTTATTGAAAAGAATGTTATTAAGATTAGTCCATGGGTGGTCAGGTTAGAAATGTGAATAGTCGAAAAAGAAAAGTAAGAAAATATGGTGTAAAAAAATTCTTTAGATTGCCTAGCTCTGATAAGTTGAGAAATTCTTAAACTTTTTGTTTAATTCTTTTACTAACTATTTAATTAGAATTGATTAGTTATAGTTTGATACTATATCTAATACTAAAAATTTTAGTATAAACATTTTTGTTAACAATAATTAAAGACTTTTTGATTTTTAAAAATTTTATAATATATTTCAAGCTGGTTATTTCTTTCTTTATATTGTTGAGTAATTTTATGTGTAGTTATAAATTTACTCGCATATCGAAATATGATATCAGAATGTTCTTTCAAAATCACTGAAAGATATGGGATTCTCATATCAGCTGCCATAAATTCACTATTATTTGTAATTTTCATTAAACTTTTCAGGCTCAACTTCATTAAGTTGGTCAGATTCATCAAATTCATTAAATTCATCAAGTTTATAGATTCACCAAATTCGTCAAATTCATCAAATTCATTAAATTCATCAGGTCGATTCACCATTTAGAAAAGCTTATTATAAATTGTTTCAGCAGTAGGTTGTTGTTGTGAGTCTGAATCTATGCATAATTTTGCCAATTCAATATAGCAGCTAAGTGTTTTTAAAGCAAAGGCAGGTCTTTTTCTATTTCAAATTTCTAATGTAAGTTCGATATCAAATAGACATCTATAAAATGGACGTATTCCAGTAGTCATCTCGCCATGATAATACCAAAACAATATATATCAGCCGCTAGTAGTATTCTATACTTTGTCTTTTAGATAGCAGCAAAAAATATGGTGTTAATAAAAAGACCTTGTATTCATTATATGATTAACAATCTATCTAGATTTGTAAATTTGGTTAACATTTTTTCTTGATTTTTTTACCAGAATTTTTACTAGACAGATGGATTAATAATACTATAAAAACATTCATAGCAAAAAAATTTGAACTTTTCTAAATTCTTTTTTTTTAGTCATTAGGGAAAAACTATTTTAATAAAAACGTAATAATTTCTGATACAAACTAATAAAACCAAGCCACTATGTAGATTAAATTATATTGAAATCATTATTTAATCATATACATGTGTCTTTATTTTGTAATGTAGTTACATAAAGTTATTTAAAAAAATACTTTATTTTGTTTATCTTGAAACCTCTAAGTAGAAGTATTTAAGCATTTACTTTCTAATTAATTTCTTTTATTTGATAAGAGGTGAGTGAAATTTTGTGTACCTAGTTAGAAAAAGACTAAACAAATTATGCAAAAAATTATTATAACTGTGTTATTAGTTAAATTGTGACCAACAATTATTAATCTCATTTGTAGCAGATATGCGTTATATGTGTGTGGTATTACTTGAAAATTAAATATTAGATTTTTTTATAATACGTGAATAAAATTGGGTGTGCGAAATGCGAATATTAATTATTGAAGAATTGGTGATCGAAATTATTTATCACTTTGTAAATCATTAGGACTAATTTTGATTGCGATCTAAATAGCGGAACTGATTACTTATAATTCTGGTCAAATTTGCAGATCATTTGGCCAGATTCAGAATCAAAAATAGTGTTCCTCAGATTCGATCTGATATCCGATATCCAAATTGAATCCGACCTATCGGATCGAATCCGGATCTATAAGATCCGATGAATACGGATCTACATAGGGATCCGATTCGATACCCAAATTGGATCCGTTAGAATACGTAATATTCACTTATTTTATATGTGTCCAATAATTTCTAAGCGAAAAAAAATTGTAAGTTATTTTGTTCTCAATGTTAGTGTCGAGTTATGATTGGTCACACCTGATTTCGCGGTCCCATTGAAAAACTTTTGGTCACGTGAAAAGTGATAAAAGTTTTAAAAGTTATTAATGTCTGTCTAGGGTTTATATTTGGAACGAACGTTTGTTTTGAATTTTCCTGATCGGGTTACGTTAATGTTACGTTACACCTGATCTTGAAATGTGATTGATTTATACCACATTTTTGGTCACGTTACCGAAAATTTTTGTTCCATTGCAAAGTATATCAATAATAATAGGATCGACATAATGGATAATAATGACGTTATGCAATTATTTTCTTTTGATAGAATTCGAATCGGATCCAGATCGGATTCGGATCTAATAAATTCGGATCCAGATCTAACTATAGTTCTGAATTACAGCTGTTCTCATAAATTTTGGAGCATCTGGTAAAAAATTGACCGAATGATTTGGCCGATTCGATAAGTAATTGATTTCGACATAACGTTTATTATTTACGTAGATAGATATGTATGTAACGTATGTACGTACAGTACATTTTAAATTGATTACTAACGCTAATCGATTTGAAAATAAAACACATGAAAATATAAAATACTACAAGGCTTTAAGCGACTTCTATTTTTACATCCTAACCAAAGTTCCATCTCTGATTGTAATTCATAAAAATACCAGTCAGGCTTTCTTCCTTCCATTAAAGCCTTAAGATATTTTATATTATTCAAGTTCGTGGTTTTCTTATGAGTGGCGGAAATCTCATATTTTTGAAATTGAAGATCTGTTAACATCTAATGTCTGAACTAATAACTCTTCTAAATTTTTTTGACTATTTTTCAGCGAATGTGTTTCGAAAAAATATTATATTTAACATATTATATCGATATTGGTTATCTATTAAAATTGTCACTGCTGCACCGTAAATAATATGTTTCATGTGAGTTTTAATTTGCAAATAGATTAATAATCAATTTAAACCGTATATACCTGATATTAAATAAATTTACGTACGTTGTAAAAGTGTAAAAAATCTGTACTACAAAAATACGATACAAATACAAACTAACTACTCTAACTAAACCCTAATAATGGTAAGGCTTCGATTGAGGCGTGGAAAGACTTTGTCCGAGTAACTAGGGTTCTTGACTACGTCACGAGCCTCTTAATACGAAGTCACGGGGTCTGGTCAATAATTTCTATCGTTAAAAATACAGATTTTACTTATTGGGAGATTATGGACATTTCTATTAAGAACTTATCTTTATTCAGATACATTTCGAACTCTTTATATATATTTTTGATACTATCAAATTCTTTCTAACATATCTGCCTTATCTTGTATATAAGATTGATATACTCTATATACTCGCTATATCTAGATCTGACATACGTAGTATATCTGGCATCTGGTATAAGGTACGTATGTACGTACATATGTTAGACTTCACTTTCGAATTTCCATCAATTAAAAATTGATGTACTTGGCTTCAAAATCATGAAATAATGTACTTCATATTTTAATCGGTATAAATTTACCGATTGATGATAAAAAAAATTTATTATTTTTTTTTATGCTACAACATCGACATTATTGCATTTACACTAATTTTTCCTATTTACATATGCTATTGAAATCTATTTAACGAGCGATAAAACAATTTTGTTGATAATAAATGCTAAGCTAGTATGGAACATAAAGAATATTTAGCATAAGAAAACTTAATGATTTTTGCATAAACCTCTGCGCACACAACTACAATGAAAAGTACAAAGAGCATTGTTTTTTTGACAAGAACAGCTCTTAGTTTCACAATTTTTTTTAGTACATTGGCAACCATCACCTCTTGTATCTTGTACATGTTCTTGATTAGATGCTTCATTTGTAATATTTTGAAGTGGTTTTATCGGTCTGGTTAAGTTTTGTTGAGAACCAGCATTTCGTAAAGAAATAAACTTGCCCATTGGAATTATATCAAGGTCTGGAAAATCATCAGTCTCCAATGGTTCTAATTCATTAGCCGAAAACCAGGTATTCAAAATACCAAATTTACAACCAACTTGATAAGAGTCACGATTTGGCTTTTTTTGAATAACCTTACATGGCAGTGCTCGTCTGTCCATTTTTAACCTATCGATATCAGGAATTCAGATCTTTATAAGATCTCCTGGTTTGAAATTTAATGAACGTTTTTTAGCTTTATATTTTTTTTCCATAAGATTGTAAATAATTTGACGATTTTGAGTAACGTGTCTATTTGCTGCCTCTCTTAATTGTGCATGTTGACTAAAACTTGCACAAGATGAATTTTCAGCTAATGTATTTGTTTCAAATGATGTAACTGACGATGGAACTTCATCTAAATCCATATCATTATTCTAATAAAAGTTGTATATTAATATATAAATATATCTACAGTAAATTTTAATAAAATAAAAATATACTTGCCAGAGTGGGTAAATTTATATCATTATTTTGTTCAATTTCTTTACCCTTTTTATCTTTTATTACCTAGTGATTATTAAATTCAGGATCATTCTCCTCATTATCACTAATTATAATTATTTCATTGTTATTACTGTGGTTTGAAAATATCGATACTAAAATTTTATAAATTAGATAACTAAATTAGTATAATATTATTGATGTATATATAAACTATATTACATACCTTCAGAAGTTAAATTAGATAATTCATCTTCAGAAATAGAATTGAACAATTCAGTATCAATATTTTCATTAATAGAATTATATAGATCAATAATTTCATAAGTAGAATCAGATGATTCAATATTATTATGAGTAATATTGTTGTGAGTAATATCATCGTGAGTTATATTGTCAAGAGTAATATTGTTGTGAGTAATATCATTGTAAGTAATATTATTACAAGTAATATCATCGTGAGTAATATAATTGTGAGTAATATCATTGTCAATAATATTATCGTGAGTAGTATTGCTGTGAGTAATATCATTGTAAGTAATATTATCGTAAGTGATATCATCGTAAGTAATATCATCATGAGTAATATCATCGTGAGTAGTATCGTCGTGAGTAATATTATCGTAAGTAATATCGCTGTGAGTAATATCATTGTAAGTAATATTACTGTGAGTAATATCGTTGTGAGTAATATCATTGTGAGTAATATCATTATGAGTAATATCATTGTGAATAAAATCTGATAATGGTGTATCTATATTATATATAAATTAAGTAAATTAATTAAATTATATACATTAATTATTTTTAAAATTTATAAATTTTAAATAAAACCTTCATAATTAAAATTCTATAATTGATTTTCTAACGGTATATTTTCTTCATGTATTATGCTTTGCTGATGAAGCATTGAAATTATTGATAAATCTGAACAAGCTTTTTGTCCAAATACTAATTGATAAGGTGTAGTTTTTATTGCTTTACATATTTGCGTATTCATTGCCCCTAATTTATATAATTATAATAAATTTAATTATTATATAATAGATATTAATATTTATCCCTTAAACTGTAGACTTTTCCAGACAAATTTGCCTGGAAAATTATCATAAATATTGTTATGATCTACTTTTTTTAAATTTTAATATAATTA